CTGAAATTACAATGGGCTTTAATGGAGAAATGTTGTAACGTTTTTGTCACTTCATGCCCTACAAAAAGCTATTTTGTTTAATTATTTTTGCTTAATTATTTGTCATTTTTCAAGCTATGAGATGTTTTCCTACGTTAGTCATGAAAAAATATGTCTCAGGAATGTAGGGTTTGGGAATTATGGCAGTTTTAAAAATATATATGAAGGCAAATCTCAAGATTTTTTACCCTCTAGCTGTGACATCACGCACTCTAATTAATGTTAAAATCTGAAGAAAACCTCTAAAACAAGGTCTGAACAATGTTTAATGTCTCTAAAAGTAAGAATCAGATTTAAAAGTTGTTTTACACGAATAATGTCAGAAAGATATGTAACATTTTAAAGTTGGAATGAGGTTTCTGAGTGAAAGTATGAATGAAGAGTTAGCAGTTGAAGTCGCATGAAGATTTGTTGAAGTCTGAAGATTTTCTCCATTGACTTCAATGTTAAAAATTTGATGAATTATGGGATGTATGTCTGGAATTATGAAAGTTATGAATGAGAAAAGTAATAGCCATCGATTCCCGACCGAGCTGAACGTTTTTATGTTTGAACGGAGTTTCTGCGATGTTCAATGTGGGAGAAGAAGCGCGGCAAAATAAGTCGGCGGAATAATAATAAACTTTTCGTGCGTAGAATAACATATAGTTGGAATGCTGTTATCAGCATTCACACTAAATTAGTGTGCTCAGCTCTCTGTAGTTCACATATTAGGATACTTTTATTAAGCTGGAACCGGAAGCGATCATCTGGTTTGCTCTAACACACACACACACGCACGCACGCACGCACGCAGGCACGCACACACGCGCAGCCTTATCTCTGGGCGCCTGCTCGCTCTGCTCTACAGTGATTATAATGTGCCAAGTCTGCTGTGCACTGGGCGGACACACATTTCTATGTGCATGATCGGGTTAGTGTACAGTATGTGACATACACATTTGGATTTCACAGTTAGGAAGAACTAGAAATCGTTAGGTTAGCGATGAATGGTTTAGAAAGATAGACATCAGTAAGAACAGAAGACAAGACACACAGGAGCATGTCCAAAGGTTTCATAAAAACACCCTCTCCATTACACCCCCATCATTGTTTCAGAGAGGAGGGATATCACACTCTCTACCTGCTGCAGGACTCTGATCCAGTGGGATTTCTCCACGAAGACTCTAGTCTGTGTGAGCAGCAGAGACACTCACTTTACACATTTAAGCTCAGTTCCTGTGTGTGTGTGTGTGTGTGTGTGTGTGTGTGTGTGTGTGTGTGTGTGTGTGTGTGTGTGTGTGTGTGTGTGTGTGTGTGTGTGTGTGTGTGTGTGTGTGTGTGTTCTTAGCTTTTCATATACACTACACTATGCTAGTGAACTTTATCACTGATCTTCCCCACTGTCTTGACTATGAACTTCTGTTATTTTATAATATTTATTACCCTTAACTTAATCTGATGACTGAATTAGAGAACTACACAAAACCCTTTATCGTGTATGGAGGGCTTTGTGTACAAATTGATATTTTGACAAGCTTTAGGCAGGAAAACACTGTTTCAATGAACATGTGGCTGTGATACATTGATACGACATGTTAGTATGCTTGATAAATGCTAAACTCCTGTGCAATCACATGAGGGCCTTTAGTGATGTTAGGCAGAGCATCATGCCAAAGTTAACCAAAGGTAAAGCTTTAATATTCCCCCGTGGAGGATGATCCAAAGAAAAAACGGAATTTGAGTTGGAATACACAAAATACTATTTTCCTTACTGTACCTTCCAATTGCTGGAGATTTGCTACCGTTCATGGTGTTAGTTCTGTCCCATGGCTTCCTTGGCATGTCTGGAGAAAAAAGCCCAGAAATATGAAAAGCACAAGACATGAAGTTCAGCTATTCAGTAAGGAAAAACAGATTTACTGTTTAACAAGTATAACATTGATGTAATGGGAGCTAGCTTCATGCTAACTGGGACCGTGGCCCCCTCTGTTGTGAGGATGCATTTGAATATGTTTCCATAGAGGGACACTCACCTGGCGTGCTACAGGCAGACACTTTAGGGGTGGTGCTGATCTCACCTTCTTCCTGTTGGACGGATAGGCAAGGTTCAAAGGTCAAAAGCATTCCTAGATTTATTTTTAAACAGATATTCATCATTTGATTTCAAAATAAGTTTTCAATACCCATCCGTTGAGGTTTCTTAGGAAGTAGTGGAGTCAATACAACTCAAAACTTCCTGTGGATGTTTCACACTAAAAGTCTAAAAGATTGCCATAAAGGGAGCATAGGCTTACTCATTGAAATTCAGGAAGGCTGTAATTTGTGTAAAAAGTTTCCACTTTTGTCTGATGGACATAAACACTAAAATGCAAGTGACTGCAAAAATGATGGAATGAAAAGTGTTTCTGTACCCCGCCAGTACATGTGCCGGGATACAACCCTAACCCTAACCCTATCCTGGGCCTGTGGTGATCTCACCCAGGATCAACATATGGCTTTAAGTGCGTCTACGGTGAACACAACTGATCACATCTCACCTTCACAGCGCACACCCACTATACTCTGAATGTCACATTTTGTCTCTGTGCCCTAGGTTCAGATGACCCCCTGTTCTACACCACTGCTCTGCCACTATCGATTTTATCTACCAGAACTCATTACAGATGTATCACTCCAGATAGGACTCACATGGGTGTGTCCCAGTCAAAAACCCAGCGGATAACAGTGGATGGGGGTGTTGCCAAATTGCTAGAGGGCGTTGCCAAAGTTCTCCATTTGTTCAATTACAGGATTTAACTATGAGATGACGCTTCATTCACAAATACACAAAGACAACTGGGTATTGTAGAACTTGGTCTGTTTGCAATGTTTGCAGCTCTGTAGTTGTGTTTGCTGAATACTGTAGCATGTAATCACTTATTTGTTATGGTTTTCACAGGCTACTATAATGAAAAAACATCAATATTTTAGATCAAATAAAGTATATAGTTTGCTTTATGCAGTATATTTTTTTGTAATATTGTTGGGGTGTTTTTACACAGTAGTTAGAGTGAAAAACAGGATAGCACAGATTAATAAAATCAAAAATAAGATGAGCGATACAAATAAAAATAATAATAAAGAGAAACTATAAAATAAGAAATGAATAAAACTCAAATGTAATTATCATATCATATTCTAATGTATTGTATTATTAAGTGATATCATACATTAACCCCATCATAGCAGATGCCACATTGAATGGATGAACACATTTATGCATCAATAAGTACAACAGAGTATTTCTAAATACAAGTTGTAACAATACTTATATGTATGTAATATTAACCCTTTGGAGTCGACCTTCACGCCGGCGTGAACAGATCACATGACCTGTTCAAGCCGGTGCCGCATAAAAACAACAGTCAGGACAACATTGCCGTGTGTTTCTGTCGAACGTACTGGCTTGAAACGATATGCCAGTCTTTGTTTCATGCAAAAAGACCCAGTAAACACGGAGATACGATGATATAAAGTTAATACATTTCAAAAGTATGAGAAATGGAAGCACATATTTTAATATCTTCGCCGTATTTTATCATTTTACGAAACGGAAAATACTGGAAACTGTAGATTCTGCTCAACAGGATGTATTTACCAGGGAAGGGGTGAGGTAATCAGGTAAACGGAGTGATACGAAGCGAGGCGAAAAGAGACGAAGAGGGACGGCGGGAACCGAAGAGAGACGGCAGGAAGAGAGACGAAGATATACATATTATTGTACATAATGTGTATATATAATAACATCATTATTAATTTCAGATGATAATACTTTTCAGGGTTAGGTCCGGTCTGACAGCGCTTGGCTCTCTGCTGCAGAGAAGATCATTGCTCTAAACAAAGTCAACAATCCTACATCCAAACGGAATAAATATAATAAATTATTATTAATAGGTTAAGTCTTGTTCATTGTTTTTCACTTTTATTAAATGTTTGATATTTCCTGCACAGACCCTTTCATACCGGCAATGCACGATAGAAACAACAGAAAGTGCGACAGTTTAAAGAGCCTGTGACAGCATCCCAACAACTGTTGTGCAATGAAATATTGGGCTACTAGTCATCTCGAACCGTCAGTTTAAAAAAGAAGGTGCGATATCGTTCCGATAAATATCAATAATTTCGAACATTACGGGGGAATTCCTTCGACTCATTTTGAAGTTTTGGGGGAAGCTGGAAGTGACATCAATGCGGGAACGCTTCACTGTGCGGCGAGAGAGCCAAACACGGATAAAGTGTGTTGTCATGTGTAGAAATGGTGAATTACTGAGTTTGGGCACGTTAATAACGTTTTAATGAAGTTGATTACAGTATATTCATATTTGTCAGTGCTTTCATGTCAATTCGGCGAACATAAACATAAATGATCGTGGTGAAGATGATGATTAAATTAGGATTAAAAATCTGTAGTGAGAGCTGCTGGATTTCCTCCCGTAGGATGTGATATAAAAACAAATCGATTATTTTTGTCGTTGTAAACTCAAGTGGATGAAACTACATTTATTAGTGCTTTCATGTCAATTCCGCGAACATATGATACATTAAATGATCGTGAGGATGATGATTTAAAAATCGTTTGTTTGAACCGGTCTGCATTTCCTGATGAGAAAACAAACCAATGCTTTTTGTAGATGTAGTACACCAACATGGATTAAACGTGTGTTTTTTTTTACCACAATGTTGGGGAAATTAATGGATAAAATGCACGGATTATTATTATTATTATTATTCCCCCTCCGATCGGGACACTAGGTCCACCGTTTCCCCGCAGCGAGGCTCCCCCCGTTGACAGTTTACGTGGGCTGGGCTGAGTGCAGTGGCGGACTGGCCATCGGGACGAATCCCGATGGGCCGGTACCGAAGTGGGCCGGTCGGATAATTCACTAGCACATCCCCCACTCCCCCCGTAGACAATTTACAAGCGGTACCGAAGTGGGCCGGTCGAGAGTCCCGGGATGATTTTTAGTCCCAGTCCACCACTGGCTACATGACCGTATGATCGCCCATATTGACGCACCTAATTCCTAAACTTCTAACAGATACAACATAAACCGATCCTTCAGCCTCATATGAGCTCTCAGACACGTTCAAAATTAAACT